TTAAAAACTTTTTTATTTTCACATCATCAAAGTAATACATCAAACTCATTATCTAATACACAAACGTTTAAAGTTATTTAAAAAAAAAAACAAAACCAGTGCGAGTCACACTCGCAATTTATATGTTCCATTCAATTAAAATATATGATACAATATATTTTCACGCTCCATCACGTCTTTACAAACATGACTTATTATAATTAATGTCAGACTAAAGAATAATATAGATGGAGTCCGCCAAAATAAATGTCGAACACAAAAAGTTAGTTACAGAAAGTTTTTTTTTTTAAATAAAGGAAATTTTATACATGTATTAGTTAAATTGATATTAAATTTTTGGGAATGAAATATGAATAACAAATGCTATATTCTTTTGTATTTTTTAGCATTAGTTTTTGAAAGAGAGATTGGCTTATTTATTTTTTTTTTCTTATTTAATACACTATAGACGGTTAATAATTTTTTTTATCAAGATTTATTTACTTATCACTGTATCTAAATTGTCATTTTCTATTGTAAAATATTATTGTTTGGCTTCATGTTTAGTTCTATGAAACTCTACCTCTATTATTCCTTAGTTGAGTCATTTATTTTAATTTTCACTTCACGTCGGACTTTCTCAATACTTTATTTTTTTTTTATTAATAAAACCAATATTTTGTTCGAAAAAAAAAATACAGTATTTATATTATTTCGTTAAATTGATTGTTTCATAGCCATTTACAATACAATTCAGAACAGTATAGTTATAATATGACAACAATATCGATCTTACAGTTCTCCCTTAATTTTATTAAGCATTAACAATAATACTGACATTAATTACAATTAAAAGTATGAAAAAATCGGTAAATACTTAAGTTTTATAAAATAATATTAGCACTTCCATTGAAAAAAAATGCTATTTTTTTTATTTTCAAACATAATTTTTGCTTATTTACATAGATTACTAATAACCTATAGATTCTATAATAATAATTGAAAAAAAAAACTATTTTTTTTTCATACAAGAATTCATCAAATATAGTCAACTCTAAATAACGATATAATTTCCATCAAAATAGAGTTAGTCTACTTGAAGGAAGGTAATATATATACATACATACATATACAAAATAAATTTATTTTATTGTATGGAAACAGAACAAAAGTGCTACATACATGAGATCTTTTTATAAAGCTTATTTATAACTTAACGATAGTTGCAAAGTTTCTTAAAGAGTCAAAGATAAAATTACATTAGAAATATGTAGTTTACAAATCATCAGTCTCAGTAATAATTAGCTATTCATTAAGTTCACAAGTAATTAAAAGTAGAGATTTGGATGCACTTTAATTTAATATATTTTAAACTTAGCGATTTACACTCGCTTCGCTCGGATGCGTCTATAGATATGTTTTTTCTCACAATGTCATAGGTTTTAAATTTTTTTGCGTCGAACCCTAACTCTTTTTCTAAAATAAAAGTAGCCTAAGTCATTCCTTATAATATCAGTTACTTTCCAGTAAAAGTCCCGTCAAAATCGGTCCAGCTGTTTTGGATATAAGCCGGTACAAGCAGACTGATAGACATAAAAAATGTTGTTGTCTTATAAGTACTGTATACATTTTTATATACATTTAATAAAACGTTGTTATTTTGACATACAAACAGACACTTCAATTTTATTTATTTGTATAGATATGCGTGTTGGGTAAAGTCCTCTAACGTCACAATATTAACATAGACTTTGAACTTTCAAAATCTAATACTAAGATTTGTTTTTATGTGTATCTATTTTGTATATGCATATACGAGTACTTTATTGTGACATCTTGTTTGTTATAGATCCAGATTATACAAAAAATCTCTCATATGTCTAAAAGTTTTCAGTCCTCAGTATGAATATCTCTTTCTAAACAGATCAATTCTCAATCTCTACCGTGTCTTCTCCATTCTACACGACATTGGCGAAGTAAATTGTGTCCAAATGGCACGCCTATAAGCCACAGAACTAAGAACATTGAACATTGAACTTTCAATATCAATGAAATATTTGTATGGATTTACACATTTCGCGTTTATTACCAATATTTATGGGAATTTTTATTATGTTGCATTTACGATGTAACAAAACAACGAGTTGGTACGTATTTTCGAATAAAGCTAACTTTACTGGTCGGAGCGTTACAAAGAATATATTTTACTAACGTAAGAGAAATGTTTCACGTTTACAATTCGACACCTGCAAGGTACAACATTGTAGCTCAGTATTGCAGCAATTGTAATAGGAGAAATTAATTTCTGTTTCTATTATCTCAAAATAGAGTTACAATGTTTTTCTTTGTTGCCCCATTTATTTATAGAGGAACGTAAATCCTGAACAAATACGAAATCATGAAGCTACGACAAGATGTCAATCTAAAAATCGTTATGTCAAAAAATCTTAAGGTACATGCGAATATAAATGCATATATAAATATAAATGCAAAAGTTTGCGAGGATGTATGAATATCTGGATGTATAGATGTATATATGTTTGTTACTCTTTCACGCAAAAACTACTGAATTTATTTTAATGAAACCTTACAATAATATAGTTTATACATCAGAATAACACATAGGCTACTTTTTATCCCAGAAAAACGTACGGTTCCCGCGGGATAGATTTGTGTTCAATTTTCTATAGGCGAATCCGACCGAAGTGAGGGTGAGTCGCTGTTGTTAAATAAAAAAAATTCTAACCCATATTTCCAGTGGAAAAACCAAAACACCATTTATGAACTTAATGGTTTGAATATTCTAGATTATACTAATCTTAAAGAAGAATTGACATATTACAAGACGGTCTTAAAACACTTATTTTAAAATATTAGGCATTTAACTCAATATCATTAGGTCTTAAGACAGTCTTATTTATCATGGACAAATACCCTAAAATTTAGGGCTTAAATAATATACTAGGTCATACTTAGTTCTAGAATCTTTGACATGTACACTTAAAGCTTTAATGTTAGGCTCTTTTGAGTATCATAATTAGGATTTATTTAATTACTTGGGGTTCAATGAATATTACATATGTATATAAATATAAATATATATATATATATATATATATATATATATATATATATATATATATATATATGAGCAAATACAAAAATTGTTAGCAATATTGGAGACCATGGCAGCACGGTAAGTTATTTTTGTAGCTTGTTTGTGGTCGAAACTTGACCATAATCATCTATAGTGTTATCAATAAAAAAACTTTTTCCAACGTTTTTTAACGTTAATTTCTTTACCAAAGCTCTTAACACAAAAACTAAAAAAAAAATCAGTTCACAAACAGAGAAGAAAAAGGCACTGAAATGTTTTGTCTTTGCCATTTTATAATATATAGATATCTATTGTTTAAAACAAAAGTAAATCTTATATGCATTGTTCCGAGTTTATTGACAATAAACTACTAAGCAAATTATTGTACCTTGATATAATATAAACCATTATTATTATGTATTAATATGAAGATTTGGTCATACTTAATTGAGTTGAATATCTATATATATAATAAAATTCTGAGTCGAATATATACATTAAATATTTTTTGGAAAATCTTATTGAAATAGTCATTATTATCGATACAGGCCGAATCTATAGTTTTTAAAAATTTTGTCTGTCTGTCTGTATGGGAACGCATCACGAGAAAACCACTGGACAGATTTTGGCGAAATTTGGTATGATGATAGCCGGTTATCCTGGTGAACATTTAGTTTACTTTTTACTGCGAGAAAATATCTCACCTCTGAGAAATCTATAGGTACTAAAAAAATGTAGTGACAAACTCGAGTTTGAAATAAAAATCTAACGTGTGTATATAACAAAAAATGCGTATTGAGCTTTGATTTACCTAATTATCATGTAAAATATCTAAATATACCTCTTTTCAAGTATTTATTCTAAGAATAAAAATGATTCGTCGTAATTTATTAGAAGATTCCAAAGAATGCTTAAGCAATCATGTCACACAATAATATCATTCATTTCTTAGGGTGGATTTACCTTCGCCTTTTCGTTTATTGTAATTTTCAATAAAAAGGGGCGAACGTCAATTCATGAATAAAATATATGGAATGTTTAAAAGAAAATTACAGAAATATAACATAAATTGATTTAAAAATATATAGATTTATTTGATAATAAGAAACTTTCTCTTATATTTTACTTATGTAATTTTATATCCTAGTTGAATAAATATGTTTTTTTTTTCAAGATATAAATCAAAGTCAATACAAAAATTTGTTTATCTTTACTGATATTACAAAACTTAATATTATAAATGTGTAAGTTTGTGAGTTGTGTATGTTTGTTACTCTTTCACGCCAGAACGGCTGAACGGATCTAGATGAAATTTGGCACAGAGATAGATTATAATCTGGAATAGCATAGAGGCTAAAAATACCGGAAAAATATAAGGTTCTCGAGGGATATATTTGTTTTTGTTTTACCGATAGTAAATTAATAAAATATTCAATTTAATTCAATTTTCTTGATAATGGCTTCAAAGCGGGTCATTTAAGCACAGATATATAATATATCTTTCATACTGTTAAATCAACTAGTGTTCGCCCATTGGTCTAAATTCGACGAAAATCATTCAAAATCATTGATAATTTGAGGAAAATATATATGAAAGAATTTATCTACCTACGAGTATATATAAAAAAACTGACACTGTTCCCAATTTTTTTTATTGATAACACTAAACCTCGTCAATAGCTACTAAACTAAAAAAAAAAGAAAATCAGTTGACAAACAGAAGAAAAAAGGTACAGACCTGTCTTTGCCTATATAGATTGTTAGTAATAAAAGTTCATTGACCCCTGTAATGTACACGATAAAGAATACAATTTTAAATGGAGGCTCAGAAATACTTATTTATAAAGCTTTTCGGTTTAAAACCAAAAAATTTAATGAAAGTTATAAAAAATCTTACACATTTTTAATTAATAAAATTTGCTTACACATGAGTTCCAGATCCTGAAAAGAGAAAACGTGGAGTGAATTATGAAACGTTGTCAAATATTACTTATTATAAGTACATAATTATTGTTTATTTGTAATTAGCAACTTGCTTCGCTCGGGTGCGTTTTCATTTTTTTGAGCGGAACCCAAATTTTTTTAATATAATGAAAATAGCCTAAGTTACTCTTTATACTCGTAATATCAGCAGTCTGCCAGTGAAAGCCCCGTCAAAATCAGTCCAACCTTTCGGAGATTAGCCGGGACAAACCGACAGACAGACAAAATTAGTCATCATTTTCAAGTTTTAAAGAGTTGATTATTCATTGTGGCTTATGATAAAAGCCCATTGTTAAGTTTGCATTTTTTAAAATATTTAAATAAAACATGTTTTGCCATTCAATGCTAAAATTGTACCGTTCAAAGACTAAGAGGCAAGAGAGACTAGATTTTAAAGGTTTTATTGCCTCAGTTATTATCTAGATAAATAATTATTAGAATAAGCTAGGTACGTGTCATATTGTTAATTACCTTTGGTAGATATTTGCGATGTATGCATGCTTCCTTGATTAGAAGGCGAGAGAATGTAGAGCGCGCCGGGCGTCTGTGGCGGGGGTTTAGGCACCTATTAAAATTCAAAAATACTATAATTGTACTATTCTAAATAACAAAATTAAGACAAAATAATTGTTAAGTTTGACCTATAAGCTAATTTAAGTATGTTATTCTTGGGGCTAATGTCCTTAAAGCCCCAATTAAAATAAATGCATTATTACAAAAAAATCTAAACTAGATGTTTAAGAGACTTCTTTCTCATCTTTTGAGACGATTTGCTTATACTTTGTTTTGCTTATGAAAAAACGTAATTAAATACGTATTAAAAATAGTCGTCCATATATTATAAAAACAGGTATTTCACCGTGTACCGTATTTTATCTACCGTATCTACTCTCCGTAATTTTGTGGTGCAAGTTCCATATAGAGTAAATGTAAAAAAGTCTTAAATTTATAGAAATATATTGAAATATTTAATTACTTGAGGCTGAGCACTGTTGCTACTGGACGACGAAATGGGCGGACTTGTGAACGGTCTTGATGTAGAAGAAGATGATGGTGATGTTATCGATGAGCCTTTACATATTTAAAAAATTATTATAAATTACCTATAAAGTTATCAAATTAATTAATTAAGAAACAAAAAAAGAGAATTCTACGACATTTACAGAATTTTATCGAAAATTCTGAAAATGTCTGATATTACATGGTAATTTTTGATTACACTGATATGATTACCAAATGATACCAGTAGTAATTTTTGATTAATATATTTTTTTTTGTTAATTTTAATATAACTATAATATTACTTTATTCTTCAGTTTATTTCAAAGTCACGGAACTTTCATGTTATTAATACTAAAATTCTTAGAAACTTACTTGGTGGCAGATGGTTGGTGTTTCTTAATGTATAGTACGGCGGAGGAGCATTTTTAGCAGCATTATTAACTGCAGAGACGTAAGCTGTAATAAAAATATATATAGTACACCGGTTTTTTCCAAAACTGACTTAACTGATTTTATTATTAAGAGAGTTAGTACCTCTACCTCTATACCTATTTTTTGCTTTCTCGATGAAATCATTGTCTCGTTTAATATTTCAATAAAATTTTAAATATTTTATTTATAGATTTTTTACAATTAATCAAAACCATACTCTGAACTCAAAATTAAAACAAAAAGAAAAATAATACGCACAAACAGATAGACACAAATAGAAACTCTGTTTAACCGATTTCTAAAAAGAAGAGGTTCTATATTCATCTGTATGTAATAATATATGTTTTTATATAATTCAGAAAAAACGTATTTAAAGTGATAGATATCTATAAAATAAACTTACGAAAGCCAGTAGTGTCTCTCAAATAAGGGTTTCCATATGTTGCAGCATATCTTACATCAACTCCACCCGTCAGAATTACTCCAGCATTTCCCATGGGTATGACTATAGCAAGATAATTAAGTTTTACTACGGCTTTATATAAAAATATAATAATGTATATAAATATTTTATTTTAGTACTAGCAACTTAACCTCGCTTCGCCTGGGTGCTCTAGTGTAGGTAGTTTCTTTTGTATTTATTATATTATATACAGATAGCGCCATCTCTTGGCAAAATTCATGATTAGCAGTAGCCAGTTTTATTGCAAGTCATAGTCTATCTGTTTACTAAATGACATCCAATTCCGTCCAGCCGTATCGGCGTGAAGGAGTAATAAACATACACAGACATACAAACTTTTGTATTTTCACGCATAGTGTGCTTAAATGTGTTATATTATGCATTTGTATAGATCATAAGTTCGATTCCCAAATTGAGTTGATATTTGTGCCAACCATAAAGACGTACGCCCTTGAGGCTATCACGTATTTCCGAAAGTGATAATCACCGCCTTTGATATCAACGAGCTATCAAAGTGGCAGTTCCAAGTGGCTAACTTTACCGATTATCTTAAATAATGAATTCGTGCGCTTTTGAATGAAACCCGATTGAAACCTGGGGTTGGTCGTGTTCTACCCCCGTACCTTGGAGAGCACGTAAATAGTAAATTGCACTTTATTTGCACCGAGCAAGAGTATGATATTATGTGGAATTTGGTGTGTAGTTCTCGGTGACTAACGATGTAGTTCATAATAGTTATGTGTATGTACAGAAGTAAGTAAGAAATGATGATAATGTCCATTTGACCGGTTTCGGCTACGACAGCCAATCACACTAAGAGATCTGATTGATATTATGCACAAGTGTATGTGCAGACGCAAGTGCACTGTCTATTTCTGTCTCTCTAATACTCCAACACAACACTCTCACTGGAGCAGGCAAATGACTAACGGCTTTACGTGCTTTTTGAAATTAAGGGTACTTGTTTCATCAGTTCACCACATCCAGGCTGCTACTGTGGGTTTTGTGACAAAAACTTTAAACTTTAAAAACTGTGGCTAAATTTGAATCTTTTGGCCCAACCCGAGGCTCGAACCCAAGAGCTCATGATCTTAAGTAATATATCTTACTAGTACCTATAAATTACAACTTACCATCAGGCCCAATCATGCCCAACCTTCCACAGCTTCCTTGACGATTCAAAGACCCACAATGACTCTGATATGTCGATGCATCTGTAGTACTCCGAGATAAGGATCCACTTAGAGAGTCATTAGGTTGCGGGGGAGCGTAATCTCGCGAGTAGTCCACATACGGTACGTACCCGTTGCTTTGTTCATGTGCCTGGTAAATTAAGAGGTTTTAAAAGGTAAACTTAAGAAAACTTTTTTCAAACTTTTTTTCCAACATTCCACTTGTCTTACGGAGAAGAAAAACATCGTACGTAAACTTGCATGTCTGAAAAAATCTAACAAGTTTTGGAAAGACATGTGAAGTCCGCCCTGCACTTGGCTAGCGTGATGGACTATGACCTGATACCTCCCGTATAAAAGTGAGGCTTTACTCAGCAGTGGGACGTTAAAAAGGGCTGAATATATATGTATATCATCACAATTTTTTTGACACTATTATTGTAGAAAGTCAGCTTGTCTAAGGTCTTATTTTGGTTCATCTGATTATGAACATTAGTCTTAATGATTGATTTGTATTAGATTCTAAATACCTGTCTAGGATTAATAAGTACAAAACTATTGTTATTTTGATTGAATCAAACTTAAATGAATTCAATTAATTTACTTAATCAAATTCTCATTCGAAAATAAAAGTTGACCACTCGTATACCAGTTTTATAGATAAAATTTAGGTTTCAGTTATATATAATTAATATATTTGTGGGCGTAACTCTCATCTATTACCCATGCGAGAGAAATTGATATTGTATACGCATATATTTGACACAATCTGGTAAGGACGGACTGTTCATATTAAGACATAAGTTAACGCTATCTTTAATGAGGCGTCCATAAAAAAATACTTGTACTTCTTTGTGAGTTGGACGTTAAAATATTTTCATTAATTTAATGAACTAAAAAAACTAACTTCAACTAAACTAAATTGAACATCGTAACGCCCGAACTATGAACCCATTTGGTTCTTCCGTTTGGGTATTATGATTCCACAGCAGACACACAGATATAAAAATATACAGACACACAGACAGATACACGCGTTAAACTTATAGCACCCCTCTTTTAGTGTCGGGGATAGAAAATCAATCCAATTAAAGTAATTATTCCAAGAAAGGTTAAGTCATTAAATTCATCTTCATTTTTCAATGAAAATTCTCTTCTAAATTTCCTCATCTGAGCATTTTTACTTAACTTCATCCATAAAAATATCGAGAGTAGGTATAAAAGACTGCAAGCTCTTGTACTATTCATTACCTACTTCGCTTACAGCTACAAGACATAAAATCTAATAGCGCTGTTAAATCCATTAAGTGTAGTTTTATGTTTAAGAAGAAAATATATGTATTGTAAAAATATAACTTGTATGGATGGAAAATGAAAAGATAACACTTCTGGGGGATCATTACAATTTTATTTAACTTTTATATTCTCTTTCTATTTTAAGCTATTGGAAATGTTTTAATTTTAAATTAAATATTACAGGTTCAAACAGAAAATGTAATTTTGTAATAAATTTTCATAATTTATTATAACTAAGATAAGATTGAGAGATATATGATTTTCAAGATAATGTGACCATAAATTACAAAGTATCCAAAAATAAATAAATATGTTGGGATATTAACACAGCACTATCTATTTCCATGGTAAGCTACGAAGTTTGTGTTCTGGATACCAGATAGTTGATACACTACACATAATATATAACTTCCAATACATAAATATTATAGATATAAACACCCATAACTGGAGTACAAACATTCGTGCTCATCACACAAATGAATGCCCAGTGGGACTCGAACCCACGACCGCTGACGCAGCAAGTAGGGTCATCACTACATTGAACCAAACGTGTCGTCGAAGAGATATATAAAGAAAAGTTTAGTAGTTTTATTAAAATGTAGAAATTTAAATTACGTTCAAAACACCTCCTAAATACATTTTATTAATATTTAATAATAATTATTATTCAACTCATTGCCAGGCCTATATTTCTAATCACTTGGGAAATCAAGTGAAGCGGGTTCAAATCCCGTGTCTTCTCTCATCTACCTTTGATATTCCCATGTGTGGACCATTGTTAACATGATTACAACTTGCCTTATGGTGAAGGAAAACATCGTTAGGAAACCTGTATATCTGTACGAACCCAGCAAGCTTACAAAAGACATGTGAAGCCCGCTAACCCACACTTGATCATTGTGGAGGGATGACGTTAAATATGAACTGAATATAATCATTCTGTAGCGTTTTTTAACATCTCATTCTCTCTGTCAATCCTATTTAATTAGCACGGTGGCTAGCTAGTTTTACTGGTATTCACATGCATTTTGAAAACCAGTTAGATTTATTTTATACTAGCAGTACCCGCAGCTTTGCCCGCATTCAAACTACCGATATAAGCATCAGTTTTACAATAATGTATTTTTTGATTTGTTGACATTTATGATTACTGCTCCACTCTCTTGGGTAGTAGTATGATGATATATAACCTTTAAAGCTTTCGTCAATAAAGGGGCTATCTAATATAAAAAGAATTTTTCAAATCGGATTAGTAATTCCTGAGATTAGCGCGTTCAAACAAATAAATAAACTAACCAACAGACAAAAAAACTGTCTCTCTATAATATTAGTATAGATAACTATCCTTCAGATAAAATTCTATCGTTGTAGCACGTCCGATGTCCTCATTACGACGGGGAAGGTTTCCGTTAGGCTTTATTGGGTACTACTGGCTTTTCTAACTGGTGAACCCTGGTTTCTAACTGGGTTGGTTGGCTGAATTCTGACTGATCAATATGCATATAGAAAAATGGTATGCCTAAAAACTTTTTCGAACGTTAAAAAAATGACAGATATACGAGTACATAACGAGCATAGAAAATAAAAAGATATTTGAACTATCTCAATATACAGTGTACACTTCCATTTGTATAAATATTAAATTACGCTTTGTTCAAAAATTCAAGTCACATCTTAAATTATTCTACCGACAAGTAGTTTATGAGGTCCCCGTTTTATAGGATTTCCTTCTCTTAGAAAACCGAGGGTCGTGATCCAACTAATTAAAACCGATAGCAAGTCCGCTTTAGTTATCATCAAAGTTTTGCCTTTTACTAAACTACAAACTCGCAAGTTCTAAATAACGAAGGGAAATGAGTTATTTTCTTGTAAATTATGTTAATGATGAATGTAGCTTGCAATTATCTATACATATAATAAAATTGTAACCAAGCCGAATCTGTACATTAAATATTTTTTTTGAAATAAGCATTATATACAGAGGCCGAATCTATAGTTTTAGACTTTTGTCTGTCTGTCTGTTACCGCATCACAGAATAACCACTGGAGGGATTTTGATGAACAATTGGTATGGTTATGTTGGTTATCCAGGTCAACATATAGGATACTTTTTATCGCGGGGAAATATCTCATTTCTGCGAAAAATGCTAGTATATTATATTATACTAACGTCTTGCATTCGCTTCGCTCGGGTGCGTCTCTAAATACATAACATTAGCCTGTGTGTTACTATAGGTTTGTAGTCTACTTCTTTAGACTCCGTTTGCTAAATTTCATCCAAACCATCTAACCGACAAACATACACATACATACAAAGATATAATACAAACGTGCGTATTTTTATTAGATGATAAATAAAGCTAGTCTAAAAAATCGATTAAAGTTTACTCAACAGCCTATATAAGACACAAGCTATTAATCGATTATTCGCCAAACAGAATACACGTTCGTGCTTTGGCCTCCTGCCACTTGAAAATATTAAACTGTTGTATTTCAGAATTTAAATTCCTCTAAATCAGGAGTTCCCAACCAGGGGAAGTGTAGAGAGTTAATTTTTTATAACTTAAAATTAAAATAAATAGAAAACGTTAAAATAATGTGTTTTATTATAATAAAAAATAAAAGGGGGCATGAAAATATAAATTTTTAAAATATTTTTTTAATAAAAAAGGGGGGGGGGCATATTTTATAATCCGGAGCTCAACAGCAGAAAGGTTGAGAAACGCTGCTCTAAATATATCCTCGTCTAAACAAATGTAGCCTACATTCTAGTCATACATTGCTATTGTGAGCGGTATTTGTGTAAGTCACGACGAGATGGTTTATGTCGGACGACATAGTGGTAGTAAAATCAGTGCAGTGGAATGTATGACGACGATTATTCAAAAAGAATTTTTAGTGTGGTTTGATATGAAGATATGAAACATAATGGAACTAAAATGTAGTTTGTACTAAAATAATACAATGACTAGTCTTTGTTTATGGTTTTGCTCTTATTTGTCTCAATTGTAATACATTTTTTTTTAGACATTAACACACATCACCATCTAGTTCCATGGTAAGGTACGTGGCTTGTGTTATGGATACCAGATAGTTGATACACTACACATATATAACTTTTAAATACATACATATATAAATATAAACACCCATGACTGTAGTACAAACAATTGTGCTCATCACACAAATGAATGCCCCCAGCAGGACTCGAACCCGCGACCGCTGGCGCAGCAAGTAGGGTACCTACAAACTGAGCCAAACGTGTCGTCCTTAATATTTGTTAAAAGGTGACGTAATCTGTTTATATAATACTAAGTCCCGAAAATACATGTCTTTTGCTATTTTACTGCTTAATTTCGACCCGTTAACGATAAAATAAGTAACTCAATGGCCCTTTTTTCTGATTTCAATTGAAGTTTTTATAATTTAATATATAACTTCTGACAGTAAAGACATTTTTATCGGAATAAAAAATGGTCTGCACTCAGCAACTACATTAGCTTCCTGAAATTTGTTAGTGAAAACAAATCAGATTCGGAACAGTAGTTTTAGAGATAACCTCCTACATGCATACTCACAAACTTAAAAACTTACAAACATTACCTCTTTATAATATTAGTATAGATTACAATCAATGTTTTAGGAATGCATAGAGGACAAACATACGAACATTTATTTTTATTTGTATATATTTATTAGGGAAGTTTATTTTATGACCTACGAGTGCTGATGAGTATTTCTACAAAATTAAAAAAAAAACGCTAGCTAGCTAGGTATAAAATGCAAAAAGGTTTTTATTTTTATATTGATTAGTGCGTTCAGGTACATAAAACAATATACGTTTTAACTTATAAGTACCTACTATATAAGTATATATAATCTATACATATAATAAAATTTTAACTGAGTCGAATTTGTACATAAAATATTTTTTGGAAAATCTTATTGAAATCATTGCTTTCGATACAGAAGGCGAATCTATACTTTTTTTTAAATTTGTCTGTCTGTCTGTGACCGCATCACAAGAAAACCACTGAACAAATTTTGATAAAATTTGGTATGATGCTACCTAGTTATCCGGGTCAACATAGGATACTTTTTACAGCGGAAATATATCTTATCTCTGACAAATCTATACTAAACGTTAAAACGTAAAACTATATTAATATATATATATATATATATATATATATATATATATATATATATATATATATATAATATATATATATTAACTTAACTAAATTCACTATGTAATACGTTCAAAATGATCAGCATAACGTGGGTCATCGGCTAGTTAGTGTATAGGCTTTAGTGGCTTACGAGGATAAAGCTTATTAAAAGTTCTGAATAGTTTTCAGGCTTGAGGTTATAACTTACGTTAATTAACCAGGATATTATTTTAAACTTGTTATAATATAATAAGTTTTGTTATATGTCGTATTACTCTTTTAAATCTTGGACTAAACTTTTAAAAACTAGGATTTGTTTCGTTTCAATATATTCAGTTATGATAATGAGGCATGGGGGTGAGGTATCGCTAACTTCCCAAATCCGGGCTTACGGAGACATTCTATACAGACAGACTCAATACCTAAACTTGGCCCGACCCGGACTTGAACCCAGGACCTCATATCTGCAGTCATACATGCTAACTACTAAGCCATCAAGTGATCTAGATAATTAGCACTACACTTTATACATACCTTAAAATGAACGTTATGAATAGCATTGAAATCCCCACTATATCGCTGATATTGTTTCATAAGCTCATTATCAAAGCCAGTATCGGGAAGTACAGGGCCAGCGAGGGGAAGACCCAAGTTGTTGGTCAGGTGCAAAGTGGAACGCAGTTCCGTTTCCTCATTGTTCGAAATATCCTGTAAAGAGTTTTTGGGTTATGATTTGTTTGGAAAAGTGTATTGTTTTGTTAAAGTATTACCCTTTTGTTTTTCATATTATGAAAAAAACTATAGCTATTTTGTGAATAAAATGTTATTGTATAATAATAGCAAGCAAACTACCTATACAGAACATATTAGCTTCAGCGGTGATTACTACCGTAATTTAAAATGAAAGGACTTTCAATAAATAATCAAAAAAGTTTTAAAGAGGTAATATTTAACTAAAGTTATAGATAATGAAAATTTGCGTGTATGTTTGTTGTTACAACGTGATAAAGTACTGCACGCTGTAATACATAAATGAAGTTGTATGGATTTCGGAGTGGAGATATCTTATAATCTAGGCTACATAGACCATTTTTATCAACGTACCATGCGAGCGGAAACGCGGATAAAAAGTAGTTTTATAAAGCCAAATAATTGTTTTAACTCATTTTTTACTAATAAGATTACTTGTTAGAATGTCAGAAACTTGTTCTTGGATTTATTTGTATGTTAATTTAAGAAATATTACTGGTCTTTACAAAAGAAGATTAAATTATTATTATTATTACTGCTTTAACTCTTACATTTCAATGGTTTTCATTAAATAAGTACCAAAAAATCCATTTGAATATTTTTTTTACTACATATTAAAAAGAAAAATCACTTTTCAGCAAAGAAGATATTTAAACTTATCTCACCATGTCACAGCTTCCTTCCACTTGTCTCAATTCCAACTTCAAGTCACTTATGTTTGAATTTCGATCGCTATCTTTAAACTGATCAAAAGTTTTACCAACTTCGGTAATGTCGGGTTTCTTCGAGTCTGATTTGTGGGTTTTTCGATGACAAAGCATTAAAGCTAGCATTATAATAAGTATAACTATAGTTATTGCTGCGCCAACTACTATCATTGCCATAAGAGGGATCGATTCTGTAATAAATCGAAGTTTTATAATAGGCTTCCTTATATGGTATTCTGATTTTAGAATGTATTATAAACGAAAATAATCCCTACTTTGTTAATTATTTTTATTACGTTTTCACTAAAATGGTTATAAATTGATTCTTCAGATTTTTACTCTAAATAAGTCTTCTAGAATTTTCTAAGTTAAATGAGAATATGCCATAACAATGTTTACTTACGCATTAAGAAGTTAACTAACGATATAAAATAATATTATTTTTACACGAAAGAATTATGTACACTGAAATACTCAAAATATGAAACTTACAAGAATTATACATGCTTTAAGTATTCTAAAAATTACAAAAATAATAGAAAATATGATGATGATGATGTTCTCCTAGCCGATTCCCGCTACGGCGGCCAATCTCATTGAGACTAGCCAACTGCGCAGGAGACATTATAGTGCACAAGTGTACGCGCAGACACAAGTGCATTCTCTTTTCCTGTTACTCTCATACTCTGGTAAAACGACCACTCGACACGACCAGTGAGAGTTAAGGCGCAGGATCGACGGCTTTACGCGCTCTCCGAGGCACGGGGGTGAAACACCGCCGACTTCCCAACTCCGGGGTGTTACTGAGACTTTCTATACAGAAAGACTCAATAACTAAACTTGGCCCGACCCGGGACTCGAACCCAGGACCTCCGTGTGCCGCCGTACATGCTAGCCACTACACCACCGAGGTATTAATAAAAAATAATAGAAAATATAGTCTATGTATAAAAAAATTACAACTTATTATTGAAAATATAATCAAAATGTAGACAATGCCATATAAAACAGTTAGTTCGATATAGACTTCTCAAAGTAATAGCAAAATGATTAACTTACTGTCTGGTATAACATTAATTTCAACACTGTCGCTTCCATATGCATTAGACACTGTGCAATTATAAGAACCAAAATGTCGAGTTTGACTGTTCCGAATAACTAGAGTAGATTTAGTCATGCCATCTGTTAATGATTCTTCTAAGAAAACATATTCCTGCAAATTCGTAAAATACATAAAAATAATTCAAAAATAATTTACACTCCAAGTATTCTAGAACCAAAACTAAAAAATACACTGATCTTTGTCCCTAAAAAAGGTATATAATTTTAAAATACCATTAACTTTCCAGACAATTTTTTTGGAAAGATTTCAATGAAACCTCAAATTCTTTATTTCCTATATTGCTTCTAACACCGACTAAACCTTTTTCGTCTACACTAAACGTGACCCCTACACAAGGATCAACACTATGGTCACAGCCACCAACTTCTTATATTATTGAAGATCAAAGTCTTAATGAGATTTAATGCTCAGGATTGAATATAACATCCATGCAGTTTAACAAGAGCTCGATTCAGCACTTTTATTAACTTATATATAAAAGTATTAACAGTCTGTCATCACTTTGCGCAATATCCTACGATCCATATACAATTTATATATATATATATATATATATATATATAGTAAGAAACTGATTGGCTGACTAATTTACTGACTGATCAATAAACGCACAGCAGAAACCGCTGGGTCTAGAAGTGAAAATGATCCTTAAATGACTTAAAAGTGCACTAAAGGGATATTTGAAAATTCATCCCCAAATAGGTTAAAATAGGAGATGAAAGTTTGTATGAATCTTCGTCGTTAGAAATATAAAAATTGATATATGAGCACTTGGTTAAAGAAAAAAGTTTACAGTATCACTTTTTTATGAAAATTCATTCTTTAAGTTGGTATAATAGGGGATAGATAGTATGAATGATCTAATTCAATTAAATACACACATGTTATAACATTTACGTAATTCATCCCGTAAGGAGGTAAAAATGGGTAGTAAAGTTGGTAAGAAGATCCGCCATTTTTATTGGTAAAATTAAGTATTCAAAATGATTTAATAAATAAGCAATACGTGTTATCAATCAGATTATTCGAAATTCTTCCCAGTAGAAAGTAAAACTATTACAATATTCTCTCAGATATATTGATCGATAGATTGATCAACTGACTGATCGACCGACTGGTCGACCGACTGATCGACCGACAGATAGGCCGATTTATCAACCGACTGTTCGCCGACTGATCGACTATATACATATATTGATATACGTAGACTAAACTCTCTGTTAGAGTTTTATTTAATAAATTTAAATATTAAAATACTTACTTCATTATGAAAAGAATTTATTTCACTTCCTCCAAAAGCCCATATAACTAAATCAGGTTTCGGTACAGAGAAAGATATACACTCCACGTGTACACTATCACCTTCCACTCCATATTGTGTTTGATTTGACATTATTTTGGGTGGACCTAAAATAATATATGAGCTATAAAACATATATATAATATTTTTGGTGTTTACATACTATTTTATTGATATGAAGTGCATTCTAAACACTCGACGCAAACAGAGGGGCATTATAAATTTAAAGTATCTGTGTGTCTATCTGTGGCATCGTAGCTCCTACACGGATAAACAAATTTCAATGTGTTTTTTTTTTATTGAAAGTTGGCTTAACCGCGATGATCCTTAGCTATTTCATCCAAATCGGCTAAACCATTTTTGACTGTCGGGGGTTATTTAAAAATTTTATTTTTACCTTGTTGTTCATTAAGTCGGTATTAACGTTAACTCACTCACTTAAAGCGGTAAATATGAATCGTCTGTAAATATTAGCTTAACCAAATTAATCTCCAATTTCCATACACATTACGCACCAATAATAATATTTTAAATACATATGTAACAATAGAAACAAGATTTAGAAACCTTATTAAAGTTTCTATGATACTAATTAACATTAATATGTTTTATTTTGTCTATATAACAATACATCCTAAGCTTATGATCACCAGTTCGATTATCGTTCAGAGTTACATTATATACTATCGAATAAAGCTGCATATCACATAATAATGACGGTTCTGATTTTGCCCAAGTTTAATCCACTACTACTAAATACTAATCACGTGCGCAGGAGGTGTTATAGTGCGTGCAAATACAGTGTGAACTCTCGATTCCTGTCAAACTCCGATGGGACGATTCAATACAAGCGATTACGTGCTCTCCGAGGCATGATTAAACTAATTTTTCAAATCCGGCCTGTTACTAAAATTTCTTGATAGAAAACCCCAATAACTATACTAAGCCCGACTCGAGACTCAAACCTGGGACCACGGGTCTGCGATGCTAGCAACCACACCATTGAGGCATACCGTATAATCTAAAGCCAAGTTATTAACTTAGGCCGTACCATAAAAACAACTTTTCCATATAATTAACATCATAAATTAAAGCTTTCCCTTTAAGCTCTACTATAACTTTAATAGGTACCTACTCAGTGTCAAATTTAAAGTACACCCGAAACTTTAAAATACTCTCGGATTTCAAGGTGCTAAGAGTAGTGCGATTACGACAATGCCTTCAAACTTCTTACACTTTATCCAATTTCAACATTCTTTTGCTACATGAGTTTCTTTCATTATGCTGCTTAAAATAAAATTGTCATTTATAAAATCTTTACTAATATTATAAAGAGGTTTGTTTGAACGTATCTCAGTAACTACTAATATATATCATTTTGCTATTACCCAAAGGAAGCGGAGCAGTAATCATAAATGTCTACAAATCGGGCAGACTTCCATACATTATTACTAAAGGCAAGCGAAGCCGCGGGTTCTGCTAGTATTGTATAAAAAATACCAAAAATTAACGTTAAGATTTGAGAGCCGTTGAGAATCTTTTGATGTTAAATTTAGTATAAAATGTAGAGACGTAATTGTCGTATATATTTTTTTTACTTCAAAATGAAACACTTGTTCAAACACCTTTCCACAGCACTTAAGAAAACTTCTAATGGCAATAGAAATAATATTATTTAATTACTTATAAACAAAATATTTGATGAGCCTTTTATAAACACATAAATCAAATATCTTATTACAATTAATTATTTGTTGTATAGGTTGGGAAATAAAATTGTTATTGTTCCAAAGGCAATGTGCTATGTATGAATACAAAAATTATTATACATATATCTTGTTAAAACAGGTAAAACAAAGTAAACATACACATGACTGCTTCATACAGAATGCTTTGACCAATTACAAAGTACTCGTACATATAAGCATTTTCAATATATTCATGACTGTATGAAAGAATTTGCCGGAATTCGACCACAGATGTTAACAGTAAAAATTCATTGACTCTTACATTTCTGCCAACTTTTCTCTCTTTACAAGCGGCATATATATTTGACGACACGTTTGGCTCAGTTTGTAGTGACCCTACTTGCTGTGCCAACGGTCGCAGATTCGAGTCCCGCCGGGGCTATTTATTTGTTTGATGAGCACGAATGTTTGTACTCCAGTTATAGGTGTTTAATAAACTGTTTATATTTATAAGTACCAGGGCGACCGAGCTTCGTTTGGAGTTTTTGGTCAAAAGTAGAATTTTATTTTAAAAAAAAAACAAAAATCTTGAATAAATACAAAAAAAACATAAGTAAAAACTTTATATCCGACCTGGATCCGAGCCCGGACACCTGTGATTGTCAATCTTTCGCCATGGCCTCTTGACCACGATGCTAATAGCAGAACGTGCGAAATTGGCGACAGTATTTTGTGTGGAATAATAAGAAATAAAACCGTATGAAAACTCGAAAACACGCATTTCCCAGACATAAAACTAACCTAGATCGATTCATCGGCCCCGAAACCCCTACGTACCAAATTTCAGCGAAACCGTTAGAGCCGTTTCCGAGATCGCGGGTATAAATAAATATATAGAAAAGAATTGCTCGTTTAAATATACTAGATTCCTTACATATTTTTGATATAAACCTATAAATATACTTTCATATTTATATATTAAAGCACTTTTAATATAGATAAAGTCTCTTTTATAATACACTCACGGTAAACACGCAGTATCGGCTAAGTTAACTTCAGTCACTGGAAAGAGTTCTCTTATCCACCACTAGTTTAATTTAACTCCAAACTCGCACTGCTTTATACTAAGCACTAACATAGCACTGCTACCGTACATAAATTAAACGTAGAATATTCTTGTAAAATAAAATTTAAAATCATTCCACTGATACCAATTTCTCCTTTTATTTTTGTAGCACTTAGAAAGTTTTCCCATTCACTGTTCTTGTCTTGGATAGTCAATGGTTTGAAAAAACTATGGTTTAGCCATATGAAGTTGATATAAAGACATTCTACTGGCACGCATGCATCAATATTAATAACTGGCGATTTATTCTCGCTCAGGTGCTTCCCAGGTAGCGGAAACCTATTCTTTTTCTAAAATAAAAGCAACCTAAGTTACTATTTATACATGAGCAATTTGCCAGTGAAAGTCTCGTCAGAATCGGTCCAGTCGTTTCGGAGATTAGCCGGAACAAACGGACAGACAGAAAGATAGAAACCATATATATGTACATGTAGTAAAAAGCTGTTATAATGACATTACAAACAGATACTTCAATTTGTTTATTTGTATAGATTGAATACCTTACCTTTTAAGTAGACCATGGCTGGGGCTTCGATGTCCTGATACCCTTCCACACTAACTCTACACCAGTATTGTCCCGTAGACTGTTTATTAATTGTCACTGTCAAATTGGCAGATTTGCCCACTCTCTATAAAAAATATAGTATAGTAAGTAATTTGTTTTTTTTTTAATTGTTTTTTCTTTTCTTGACAAAAATAACATAAGTACACACAGTATGTCTTAGAACATATTATTTTTCTTTGTGATATTATATTGAAATACCACACATCATCTAAATAAGTTTATCAACTGTAACATCGTGAATATACCATAAATAGATCTTATGCAAAAAAACTTTGAACGTCTTTTTGAGTGACCCAGAAGATGCTGGCTGATGTGATCCCTAACGAATGCCATAGGACGGATCATGGAATAAACAAACCCAGTATCTCTGACTTATTATAATATGCAAAATAATTTTTATCTTAATTCTTTGTAGGAAGGATGCTGTAAGTTCTGACAGTTAAAATTTAACGTTTATATTAATAATAATAAGAAAAATCATTTCAAAGTATACATATTCCAAAATATTTCCTTACATAACTTATTTTTCCTAAAATGAAGGTAAAATTGCAAATGGAAGATTTTTTTATATTTAAACTAATCTATAATACAAGCATAATATTATTTGAAAATTTCTTGCTAAGAGGTTATAAGTATGAAAATAAAGTATTATAAATAATAAATATGAACTTACAATAATTTTGTCCCTTTCGTATCGCAACCATAGCACTTTGGGTGAAGGGTGACCATCCGCAATACAAGATAATGTCGCTGTTGCACCTATATCTCCTTCCACGTTTTGAGGCTTCGTTCTAAAGACTGGTCCATCTTAAGGAAACAAAATTTACTAAAAATTCAATTTTTTCTTTTAATATAATTAACTAGCGGGTAGCCTGGCTTTGTCCAGGTTTTTTACCACGAAAATTATATAGTTTTCCATACAAACATAAGCAAATATAAGAATTAAATTACGAAAAATCCTTTTTTAACTATTACATAATATATAAGTGTATTAGCAGCCAGTGATTTGGTCTAAGGTATTTTTTTAAGTACAAACTTAATTCATATAGGTTTATAATAATATTCCCTCAACGACCGCATACAGGCTGGCGTTACAATTAACAATAGATTTCTTAGAAATTTACCTGGAGGTGTTAAGTAGAATCTATAGATATAAGTCCATATTAAAAGACAAAATTTAATTTTAATATGCAAAAGCAATTCGTAAGTTCATCCACTAATTATACACTATATACCCCCTCATAAGGCTTCCCAATAATACCACCCAGCAAACGGAACCAGATATGCAAATTAGTCTATATGATGTTGAAGTATATGCTCAGCCAAATCTATATAAATTTTTACGTGATAAGGCCACAGTTTAACCAAATGAACGATCTCCTTAAGAGATTTTAAAACAAATTAGATACTTAACTGCTTATTTATTCTCACGAGAAAGATAAACTTAATTACTTTATTCGAAAACTTTAAAGGCTTAAAAATGTTAGCAAATTTTCTTTATCGCTTTTAGAGCTTGTTATGTTATCAACGGCGGGATAACTTTGTTAATTTTTAGTTTAACTATTTTGGTTTTATTGTAAAAATATTTTTTTTTTACCAAAAAATGTATCGGCAAATGGGATTTAAAATATTTTCCGTAGTACAACTATGCAAATTTTATAGAATTTATAAAAATATACATAATATGTATATGCAAAGTTTATTTTAATCGCTTGATATTGGGTTTGATATGTTTTAGTAATTTGCCATTTCAATAGCGCAATTTAATATATTTTTCTTGATCCATTAAAATTTTCATTACCATAAACACTCTTCCACCATTATGAAAGCCCAAACTATAGCGATTCGTAATGTTTCCTAAATATCCACATACGAGAATCAAACTCGTAGCCTTCACGAATTATTCTTCAATTGAAACGACTACTAGGATATTTCTATGTCTAACAGTTTATTTATTATAATTCTAGCTTTGAGGCTTATAATCTGGATATATTTTACGTGAACCATTTTGTCGCAGACCACGTACATTATTAATAAGAAACTCAGGACTAAACTTGGAGCTAGCTTTGAAAGACTTCTCTAACTTTAATGCTATCCCCCAAGTATCGTAGCAAACTGGTGCCAAATTATTTACAGTAATTTCTCGTTTGCTACGTATATTATATACATACATAAAAATATAATATGAATATGTAACGATATAAAGAAAAGCATTTAAGACATACGAGTACACGAGTATTATATATAAGAAATATTTTTAAGTAAATAAATCAATACTATATATAACAAGAGGAATGAGGCAGTGGTAGCTCAGTGGTAACGAGCTTGCCTAGGAAACTGAGTGAAGCGGGTTCAAGTCCTGGGTGTTGCACTTTTGATATTTTCAAGGGCCAATCATTTCTATCATGATTACCGCTTATCTTACGCTGAAGGAAAATATCGTCAGGAAACCTGCATATCTTAGAGAACCTAGCCAGTTTCGAAAGACATGTGAAGTCCGCCAACCCGCACTTGGCCAACGTGGTGGACTATATCCTGATCACCCTCGTATTGAAAGGAGGCCCACCCCAGCAGTGGGACGTTAAAAATGGCTGAATACAATACAATAAAAGGAAATGGTTCTAATTCAGCTAGCAAGATTTGACTGAATTAAACGTACTAACAAATATTACAAATAAGTAAATAAAAGCTTGTCAAAATACATACATAATATTATATTATATAGGAGGTTAAAGCCAACTTAAAGACATCAGTAAAGTTCTCTCATGGGAGTTTAAAAACTATATCAGTATACAATCGTCGTTGAATAGAAAATTTAAAAATTGTTTTAATATGCCAAATTAAATTGTTGAGTTATAGAATTAAAATATCTTATTTCCATATATTTTTTAGATATCTATTCTACAGTGCCTGTAAAATTACATCTTCTCTAAGACCTAATATACTAATAGATACATACACATTATCTTTATATATATAATTCTTCTGTGAGTGTGTATGTCACTGAACTTCTCTCAAACGACTGGACCGATTTTGATGAAATTTTTTGTGTGTGTTCAAGGCGATCTGGGAATGGTTTAGATTCACAATTTGAATAATAATTTTCATCAAAAAAATTATTAAAAAAAGTTTGAAATTTTCAAATTAAAGACGTGTAGACAGGACAACGTCTGTCGGGTCCGCTAGTGTAGATATAAAATAATAATAGTACTTTAAAAACTTCAACAAAAACAAACATAATAAAATATTCCAAGAAAAGCATAGAATTTTATTTTTTTAAATGCAGACATTTTCTAGGCATAATTGGAATGACTTACATGAAACTTCTAGGGTTTTAGACTCGGCGCTCTTGCCAACTTCATTCTGAACTTCACATTTAACGGTCGCTTCATTGTACTTCCGGGACACATTTGATATAACCTACAAATAGTAAGATTAAAGCTTTCTTTGTACACAAGTTCCTTTCTAAAAATTTAAAACGAGCTTTTCGGGTAAAATTGCAGCAATTTGAATATTTTATTTTTTATGTTCAATTTTACCGAAATCGCCTCTGCGCTTAGTTAAAACGTTTTCACGCTAATAGGATTTGGTCACATTTTGTAAATGATCAATATCTAAACTAAAACTTTAGTAAACTAAATATATACACCAGGATATAAAAAAACCTATGGTATTTTCAAGCCCAAACCTATCTCATTATAAAAAAAAATTATGTGTTATTGTTACGTATTGTTACGTCCAAAGTTTATGTATTGTTACGTTTATGTATTTATGTATTGTTACGCTTATGTCAAGTTTATGTATTGTTGTACGTCCAAATGGACAAACTAACACACCCATTTATTGATAACATTAATTATGTGTTTTTCTATACAAAGTTGTCCTTAAGCAAACTTTTCTAAAAGAAAATCTTGTTAAATCATGTATGAGGTTATCGTGAAATAAAGCAGATATTTAGTAGGTCGCAGTAAGCTAGTGGGGCGTACATCAAGCTATTTCGCTGTCCAAGCAATGTTCATCAAATGTACTTAGTTTGGTGTAAAATATACTCTACATAATATATTAGTGTTCAAATATTTTCATATACTATAGAAATTTATATTTATGGCAGCTACTTATATATGTAACTAAAATGGTAATTTGGTATATGTACGTATAAATAGGCAACGACAAAACAGTTTTTTTTGTTACTTAGTAGCTATTGACAAGCTTTAGTGTTATCATTAAAAAAATGTGGGAAAAAAAGGATGAAATAGTAAAAGTCAAAAAAAAAATTAATCTATCTAGAAACTTTTTACCAATTGGCGAACAATAGTCTATATCAAGTAATATACAAAAAATTGCAATATATTGCGGTAACGTTAGCTGATGATGTAGACAGGAAATGGTTTTTGGAAGGATTAATTAGTTGCTAGTGAACTTTTAGATTTTGCCCTACATTAATTTTGTTATGAGAGCAAAGCATCACAGTTGTGATTGGAAATCAATAGTGCCAGTTGGTGAATGAAATCCATTACTTTATTATGTTCTTCAACAACAAGAAATAATTCTATAATAAATTTGGTATCTCCTTTAAGTTTTCATGGGTCATCTTTTTATAAATAACCATTATTAACATTTATCAAAACACTCAAGTTTTTAGTGCAAATTCAATTTCATATCAGGAGAAAACATACTTATAACGAATATTTAAAATCAAATACCAATTTTTCATTTCCCTAAAGCATATTGGCAGATTATCAATAAGCAAAGGAATGAAGAGTATTTACGTTGTAAATATTTTCGTGGTAGTATCATATTGTAATGAAATGACTTAACCAAAAGCTCTGCCATCTTCTACTAAATTCAATTATTGTGTGGTTTCTTATTTAGGGCTTTGTATCCTAATGGATATAAGATGAAGCTTTTTAATATTCTTTGTTATATTATCTTTGATTTATACTAGTTTTTTCTTGACGATCTACTTGTTTTTATATAATAATCTGTACATATAATAAAATTCTAACTGCGTCGAATTTGTACATTAAATATTTTTTTGGGAAACCTTATTGAAATAGTCATTATTATCGATACAGAGGCCGAATCTATTAGTAGTTTTTAGAATTTTATTCTGTCTGTCTGTTTGTCTGTGAACGGATCACGAGAAAACCACTGGACATATTTGATTAAATTTGGTATGATCATAGCTGGTGATACGGGTCCATGTATAGGGTAATTTTGACTGCGGGAAAATATTTCATCTCTGAGAAATTTTACTAAGTTAAAATAAACTAACAGTTAAAATGTTCCTATATAAATGAGGTTCTATATAAATAAAAATGAATGTTCGTATGTTTGTCCTGTATGCGTCCCTAAGCCATTGATTCGATTGCAATGAATCTCTTATAGATTATTCTGTATAAAGCGAAGGTTTCTGACCCGAAAAAAAATTTTTTTAGACGTTTATCTTATATGCGATCATATACCATTCGAACTTAGGAACGCACCCGAGCGAAGCAACCGTATGTCGCTATTATAGTAATAGGTAAATATTACTTTTAAATTTTGTTTTGTAATGTTTTTATGCTGATCACTTATATAAATAAAAATACTTTAATTATTTATATTAATTTGAATTATATGTGAATCATCACAATTTAACAAAATTATATTATATCAGTTTGATAATACTATCCTCGTTTTTACATATATTTTACTCGATAACCTCGCAAATATCTTATTTTCAATTCAAATATGGGTATTCGAACCCGCGGCTACCATCATAGTGCATAGTGCCAGTCACATGTCACATTTCACTTTGATGATCTTTACGACATCTAAATTAAAATCTCCATCTTATAGCACCGTACAGAGTCGAGTTTTGTATAGATGAAAACGTCATATTGGCCTGTATTTCCATGCTAAGCAATCTGAAAGGAAAATCCGTAGTAGGTTTTATTATTCGCATATAAAATGTAAACTGGGGACATATTGCAACTAGGTAGAATTTTTCTGCAACGTTAATATTTTAATCTGTAAATAGGATCAGAAATAAGCACTAGTTTTAGTATTACTGTTTTGATAGAATCATTACCATGAATTATATATGAATATTGTATAACGTAAAACGTTCTTTAGATTTACTGGAATATTTTACATTTTAAAACTATCTTTTCGGATTTATTTAGATTTTTTGGTTTCCGACGTTTCGAATGCTTTACAGCAATCATGGTCTCCGGTTGTATTACGGTGATGTGACTGACACTTTCTAAGATGCTGATAGTAAATACACAAGGAATGCTTATACTTTTCTAAAACTGTAGAGTTTGTTCATTTGTTTGAAAGCGCTTACCTCTGGAACTAACAGTTGATTTTCAAGAAACCTTTTTCGCATTTGAGAGGCCCAATTCTTGAGAAATGTGGACATGTATATACAATATACATATGTGTGACGAAACAGTTATATGTACACAAATAGACTAGTCGATCGGAAGCCGGAAAATTTAATTATATATAGCTACATAATATATTACTTAACTTTAAGTAAACGTAATTCCAATGCGTAGTTTCGAATTAATTGACAAAAATACGAGTAATTTGAATAAAATTGAAGTCAAAAATGTTTTATCAAAAAATATAAGCTCCTAACGACGTTTTTATATCACAAAAATGCGTTGAGTTTAGATTTATCTAAGTGTAATAGAATGAGTCGAAATAGATTTTTTTATAAGCATTTTTCTTAGGAATAGAAAAAGATTCGTCGTCATTTGTTAGCATAATATGTTAAAGATTCTTTTTTAAATCACTCAAAAATGCCAATTACTTCTTACCGTAATTAAGATATTATGATAATCATATAGTGTGTATAATATGTTGAGTTTATATACATACATAATATGTATATTAATACTTAGTTAATTTCTCTATTTAACTGCTCTAAATAAATATTTATTTAATTTTAGACGACACATTTGGCTCAGTTTGTAGTGACCCTACTTGCTGTGCCAGCGGTCGCGGGTTCGAGTCCCTGGGGGAATTCATTTGTGTGATGATCACGAATGCTTGTACTCCAGTCATGGGTGTTTATTTTTATAATAAGTATGTATTTAAAATTATATATGTGTAGTGTATCAACTATCTGGTATCCATAACACAATTCTCGTAGATTACCATGGAACTAGATGGTGCTGTGTGTGTAATGTCCCAACATATTTATTTAGAGCGAAATTAAGACAGCAATTAACAATAATTAGCGAATAAATCGCGTAACATACATTCATACCGCGCCCGGTAGGAGTTGGCTTCTCCCCCGGGACATTCATACATACCCACACACAAAATTAACCTTCCTTTTTTTGAAGTCGATCAGATAAAAATACCCAACTATTTATCAACTACATTTCTCAACTTACCAATTCATTGTCTTTAGCAGTAGGCACTTGTTCGCTGTTCACGTACCATTTGTACGTGAGGTTACTCGGATTAGCTGCAGCCTGACATCCTGCGGGGAGAAATGTGTCTACATGTATTGAAATAAAAGATTTTTGACCGACATAAAAAAGAGTGTATGTAATTCGTTATTTTTTTAATGAATAAGATATCTCAAGGTTTTTAATATTTGATGATTATATGTTTACCCTTATGTAGACATATAATCATCAAATATTAAAAAGGCTGTTCCTATTATTAGTTAAAATAAGGAAAAATAAAAATAATTTCATTAATTCATACTTTAATATGACGAATAATAAATAAAGGAGGCTGTTGCTGTTCGTCCGGCTATTCTCGGTTTGTATGAATATTTACCACTATTTTTTTGTAAAAAAAAATAACCTTAACCTACCGAGCTGAACCAAGCTACTTATTCTTATTACTTATTTATAATTCTACTAACAACTCACCCTGGCTTTGCTCAGGTTCGTTCCTAGGTACGTTTTGACGCTTAGTTTAGAATAGATTTTTTTTTATTTATTTTTTTTCGTGATTTTTTCCGATGTTTTAATAGTATTTCGGCATGAAGACAAATCCAAAAAAAGATCATAAAAATCAGTCCAACAGTTTTCGAGTTATAAGTGCTGTAATAATCCCTGATTTTGTTTTATATATATATATCTTCCTTATAATTTATATATTTTATATAAGACGAATTATTATTTTTTATTCGTCCTATTAAAGGACGAATAGACACTCCGTTTAAAAATCACTACCAATGGTGAAATATTTAATTTTGAAATCGGTGTACATTTTTTTCCTTGTAAAGATAATATGTAATTGCTAACAACTCAAATATAATAAAACTCTAATCTAATATATCCTTAGTCCAACAGTAGCCTACTCATATATGTATAGTCTTTCTGTGTATGTGTGTTTGTTACGTCTTTACGCTAAAACGGCTGGATAGATTTGATTTGGATATAGACTATGACCTGTAGTAACACATAGGCTACAGTAGGCATTCAGGGACGTTTAGTCACTAGTTTATTTTATATTGTGGTGAAACTTTAAAGTGTCTGCTGAGATTATAATAAATCTAAATATGTTCCAACCCAATTATATAATACTTATGCCCCTTTAAAATCTACGGTTCAATAGAAACAGCATTAAATTAATTTGGTTCACTTAATATTTCCAATTTATATTTGTATCATGTTGACAAGAGCTATCGAAAATTTCAATCCAATTATTGTATTTCAAAATCTGATTAATAGTAACATTATGAACCATGTATGCATGTATACTACATACGTATGTAGTTGTTTTACCCTCTTGTTCGCAAGGCAAACGGGCGGGGCAGTCTTTATCGTCAAATCCCATCGAAATCTGTTCAGCGGTTTAAGTGTGGAAAGATAATCTATACTTAATATTATAAAGAGAGAGTTTGTTTGTTTATTTGTTTGTTTGTCCTTCTTTCACGTCGAAACAGAGTGATGCATTACCTTGATTTTTTGTGTGAAGATAGCTGGAGAGTGACATAGGCTACTTTTTACTGCGGGAGATTATTTTATTCCTACTACCTACTTTCGCATTTATAATATTACTATGGATGGATTTAAAATGTTTGAAATCTTGGAAAAAATATTTTTTTGACGATGTGATTTCTGTTTTAACAAGGAATAATAAGATTTTCGATATTAGACCTTGCGCAGAAATCGAACCTCTTAATCTGTATATAGTAGAACTTACCCGTCATACATGCAACAGGTAGGTATGTAGATTGTTAGGTAATTATTACTTTATTTCTAATTAAGTTCTAATTAAATCATGCCTATTGCATCTGAGAGTAAGATGTTGAACCTCAATTACTTGGTAATGATATTCAAATATTATGTATATAATTGTAGGCTATTAATGTAAGCTTCATGTAGCAATATCATCACTCTAATATCTATAAAGATAAATAAAATTGAAGTGTCTGTTTATAATATCATAATAAAAACTTTTTACTAAAAGTATGCATATAAAAGTATATAAGGTACATATAAGAAAAACACGTTTTTTGTCAGTCTGTTCGTTCCGGCTAATCTCCGAAACGGCTGAAGTGATTTTGACGGGACTTTCACTGGCATATAGCTAAAGTTATACGAAGTACCTTAGGCTACTACTACTAATACGTACCTAGGGACGAAGCCGAGCGAAGCGAGGGTAAGTTGTTAATATAAATATGAGAGTGAGAGTTCACACTTACTCATCTACTCTAATATTATAAAGAGGAAAAATTTGTTTTTTGTTTGTTTGTATCGAATAGGCTCCGAAACTATTGAACCGATTTAGATGAAATTTGTTAAGAAGATAGTTTGAGACCCTGGAAAGGACATAAGATTACTTTTATCCCGAAAATCATCACTTAAGGGGAAGAAAACGGGGTGAAATTTTGTATGGAGAAACAACCAAGGATCGAACCCGAGCGAAGCGAGGGTGAGTCGCTAGTAAGTTATATAGAGTAAGTGCGTTTGTTAATACTTCTTGCTATAACGGCTCAATACATTTAGATGTAGTTTATATTTCGAATTTAAATATAGATTAATATAAACCGATTAATTATAAATTAATCTTTATAATATAATATTTATTTATCAAATCGTAGATTTTATCAGAATCGAAAACAAAAATTATTATAAAATTGCGACAAAATCCTAAAAGACAATTTCATTTAAGCAACACAAATTTCAATGCTGAGTTACAACATTGTATAGAGGTGCCGAATCCTAATTAAAATACTGTAAACCAAGGACTTACCTAATATCAACTTCTGCCCTTCCTGAATTCTACCACTTGTGGCTTTTGACTTTATAAGAACACGAACTTTTGGTGCATATTGTACCTGTAACAAAAATATTTAAATATATTTTTATTTGCTTTACTTCAGACTTACGAGTCCTTATCCATATATCCCGACATCCTTACATCCATACATAGTATTATCCATACATTACAACTATAACTGCCTCGGTGGTGTAGTGGCTAGCATGTACGGCTGCACACCCGGAGGTCCTGCGTTCGAGTCCCGGGTCGGGCCAAGTTTAGTTATTGAGTCTTTTTGTATAGGAAGCCTCAGTAATCGCCCATAGTTGGGAAGTTAGCGGTGTTTCACCACCTAGCCTCGGAGAGCACGTAAAGCCGTCGGTCCTGCACCTTAACTCTCACTGGTCGTGTCGAGCAGTCGTCCCACCGGAGTATGAGAGTGACAGGAACAGAGAGTGCACTTGTGTCTGCGCGTACACTTGTGGACTATAATATCTCCTGCGCAGTTGGCTAGTCTCAATGAGATTGGCCGCCGTGGCCGAAATCGGTCAAGAGAACAATATCCATACATCCATACATTAATTAAAATTATAAATGTGAAATTGTGTTTGTTTGTCCTTCTTTCACGTTGAAACAGAATAACGCATATAATTATGGAGATAATTGGAGGGCTGGAGACAGGCTAATTTTTACCGCGAGAGATTATCTTATACCTACGGGAAAACACGTTATAATACAACCAAAATAATATTTATAATCAAAATTACTTGAAACTTGATATTAACGCTCTTCAATGCAATTAAATAAATACGTGTTTTAGCATTTTTCGAAATTCATCCCATAAGAGAGTGAAATAGGGAATTAAACTTTGTATAAAACCTACATTTTTTACTTTCTTTTTATAGTTTTAGCGCGAGCGAAGCCGCGGGTTCTACTTGTATCTATTAAATACTAATTTGAAATTTAGTATGTAAACGTGATAACAACACTATACTTGCAGTTTAATACCTAAGACTAATAATGATGTTATTTATTAACATCTATTTACTTTTCACAGTAATGAGTATTCTATTAATATACCTATATGTATACTATTTTATACAATTTGGCATCATGTTTAGTTCTACGACATCTTTGGCCCACTCTTTGGTCCTAAACGAATACTAATTCGAATGATATTTCTTACTTTTTTTATTTATTTTTTTAATTTCTTTATAAAATACTACTTCTACGTTTTAAATAGATTTGAATGCCTAGTTATTGCGAGTGTATCTTAAGAGAAAGACTTTGCTATTGCGGATTTTTCTATATGCCTTAAGACCTACAATTTTCTAGTACATTGTTTTGATGTATCTCTAAAGGTTTAGCCAGCGTTTGACATGTAAAGTTCTGAGGGCTACTCGATTGAACCATTTACTGTGTTTTCCCGTGGGAATGAAAGATTTTCCTGTAGTAAAAGGGTATCCTAAATGTTGACCCGAGTAATAAGTTATCACTACACAAAATTTTGTTAAAATCGGGGCAGTACTTTTTGCGTGAAACGCGCACATCAATTTCGCTAAGTTACTGTTTTATTATATGTATAGATTTTATAAACTTTAAATATTATAGGTAGATATAATAAAATATTATATTATTAATCTTTAGAAAAATAAGAGCTATTAGTTATGGAACGCTAACATTTTTATCTACTTAAAGTAAATATAAAAACTTTTTCCATTCTACATTTACATTCTAGATTCTAATTATGAAGACAAGGCAATTAACAAATGTACTGTTAGAAAAAAAATATAATCGAAATATACCACTAGGAAGAAAAGAAATGTAGAATCATTTCTTTATTTAATTTTTCAAGAATACCAAGAAGGTCTGCAGAGTATCTTGTAATTGGATTGTTATGTTGGAACCAAACTGCGAAACTGAAGGTTCCATTTAAAATAACTATTTACCTCATAATAATATGACGTTATTGTTATTTTGTAATGAAATGCTTAAGTAATTCATTATACATTAGCGACTCATCCTCCTTGGTCCCTAGTTACGTTTTAAGGTTTTGTTTAGATTTCTCAGAGATGAGATATTTTCGCAGTAAAAATATCTTATATGTTGACCCGGATAGCCAGCTATCAACATACCAAATTACGTCAAAATCGGTCCAGTAGTCTTCTTGTGATGCGTTCCCAGATAGACAGACAAAAATTCTAAAAACTAGATTCGGCCTCTCTATCGATAATGACTATTTCAATAAGATTTTCCAAAAAATATTTGATGTACAGATTTGGCTGAGTTAGAATTTTATTATATGTATAGAGTAGCGACTCGCCCTCGCTTCGCTAAGATTCGTCCCTAGGATGATTCCCCATACAAAGTAACATCCCCATTTTCACCCCCTTAAGGGATGATTTCCGGGATAAAAACTATCGTTTGTCCTTTCCAGGGTCTTAAACTATGTTCTTACCCTTCATCTAAATCGTCCAGTACTTTATATAAACAAACAAAAAATCAAACTTTCCTCTTTATAATATTGGTATAGACTAGCGACATGAATTGTCCTCCAGATATTTTTGTTTTGCACCAGGAACCTTCACAGGCGTATGTTCAATTTGACCCATCAATTTCTTTACAATCAGATCAATGGTGTAGGAAATACGAACGTAAAATCTAACAAACAAACATACGTTTTTATTTATAAATATAAGATATATAAGATAGTATGAGAATATTATATATTCTACACATGTTCTCGTATTTGTAAAAATATTTCGTGGTTTGCATGTTGGTTTTTGACGTTTAATTAAAACGTTAATAGTTACGCATTTCACATGAAAGAATAATTTTATACTCAAGTTATATATATATATATATATATATATATATATATATAGATATACAAAGTAAAATTGTCGCTAAATTGTAAATTGTAAGCTATTATTTGAAGTTAGCTTTGTTAACAAGCATCTTAACTGAGGATAAAAATTGAATATTTATGTTTGTTTGCTGTTATAAATTAATAATATACTAAATTTATAATAATATATTAATTTTAATGTATGTACATAGATACCATACATATATATACATACATACATACATATTTTTGTCAACAGTTACATTTATAAAACCATTTACGGAAATATTTGACCATAGCTTATAAAGCTCAATGATCGGAAGCTTAACTAAAACTAACATAGGTTATACTTTAATAGCTTAAGCACTTAATGGATTAGGATACAATATCAGAAGTCTAGACGAAGCCGTAGATTGAATAAAACACGACAATGTGATACGATAGTACGTGTGATAATTTAATAGGCATTAAGTGTATGGATGATCGAACTGACGTGTCAATATTTACGTAAAGGCATTGTAACTTAAGCAGTTAACTAAGATTTTTGCCATAGTAAAATATGTATTGTATCACTCACAAAGGTCGTAAGTTTGATCGTGTACGAGGTAAGTACGATGTTTATTCCATTCTAGTACCAAGATTATCGGGCTGTTATTATAAATGTGATTTTTTATGTATGTATGTTTGTCACTCTTTAACGCTGAAATGGCTGTACGGATTCGGATGAAAAGCACACAGATATACTATGACTTGAAGTAACATATAGGCTACTGTTAGGATGCCCTCGAATGAAGCAAAGGTAAAATCTTTGAGTGAAAGAAAGAGATATAAGCTATTATGGAAGAATAAAGTATCCAGTGGGATTTTATTACATTTTCTTAGACATTTGCCCACAGCCTTGCCAATTAAACTAGTAAAATATTAAGCTTTTCCATTTTAGTGAAACTTTTCTTACTCAAAAGAACTCTGGAAAAAAAATATTTATAAAGTCGTCTGTCTATGCAACAATGTTCGTAGAACTTATCTACGTAGTATGAAGCAAGTATTTAAACATGATTATGCCAACTAAAAAACCAGTCCTACCCTTAAAAGTTTAATTCAGAATATCTTTGCTTGAGATCCTTTACATTCTACGGCCCGTATGTCTCCTAATTAGTCTAGAGTAAGAATGCAGAACGATTTTGAGGTTATTTAAAATGGAAATATAGATGTTAATCAATATATAAATAGATCTACATGAGTAGTTGATTTTTTTTAGTATTATTATATTACTCGACTGTGGCGAAGCCCAAAGGAGGGTTTTGTGTTTGACATAAATTATGTATGTATGTAGTAAGACTCGTAGACGTATATAGAAAATAGTATAACGCGACAAAACTAAAGCACTATATAATTAACCATCTCTATCACATGTTTAATTATTTTTCTACCTGTTTTATAGTTTTTGTCACATTTAACGTCACTATAGCTGTCTTTTTTTTTTTAATTACAAATAGAAGCTAGAAAAAAATCTTGAAAAGATTACAAGTTATAATGATAAAAAATATATCCTAAAAAATACAAAGTCTCGAAATGCTAAATATTATTATGTTTCTGCGTCAACTTGTTACCGTATTTTATTTATCGTAAAATATTAAGTGATCTTTAGTAGATGTCTATTTACTATAGAAAAAATCGGATAAGTGCGAGTCAGACTCGCACGTCGAGGGTTCCGTAGCATGAAACATTAAAATAAGTTTATAATCGTAAAAAAATATTGTTTGTTATGTAACTACAAATTTACTATTCTTAGATTTTTCCATCACACAAGTAATTGTGTGATAAGACATTGTTAACTTTCATGATTCTAGGTCAACGGGAAGTACGCTCCCAATAGGTTTTGATTCTCCGGCTATTGTCAAAATATGTGGTATGACCGTCTCTTTTGATTTTGTTGACTTATAACTTTGATTTATTCACAGCTCTAATTGATTGCAGAAATTTTAACTTGATACCTCCACGCGTACTTGATAAAAAGGGTCAGGGGACAGAAACACAACGAAGCTATCCTATGAGAATTCCTTTTTTCCTTTTGAGGTACGGAACCCAAAAAAAGGACAAAAAAATAAACAGAAAAAGTCGTACGAATGTGCTAGTTACTATGTAACAATAAACATTTATAGAAATCGTCTCTGCCAGTTTTTATAATACAAAGCCATTATTCGTAATGAAGGTTGCAAATAACATTTTTGCCAATAACTTTTTATGAAAACGAGTCGGCGGCATTTTTAACAAATATTTATACCTGTCACGTACCGGTTGAATTGAATAAGAATTCTACAATAATTGTTTTACTTATGGCTAAATTTAGCACGCTTTTATTAGCTTCGCTTATGAAACGGCTCAACTGATTTTAATGTTTTTTTGTATATTTGGTAGATATGAGAATAGGTCGTAAAGAATTTTTCACCCTCTTACCCCCACCCCCCATTTTTAAATTGCAATTTTACTATTTTTGTATGAACAATATCAAAATAATTTAATATGAGTGCCTATATAACATAAAGCAAAAGAGTTTTTTTTTGTAGATTGAACGCAGGCGAAGCTGCGGGTTTTGCTAGTATTAATAATAACAAATTTATTTCAAACTGTAACCGAATATCGTACTTTACTAATAAGCATGCAATTAATGTGCCAAGTGTGCTATGATAAGTTAAAAGCTTAATTAGCGCGGAGAAGATTACGAAAATAATATGAGACAAAATTTAATGAAATTTTGGTCATAATTGTGAAATTATTTCTATAATAAATCTGTATAATTGTATAATATTATTTATGAAAATCTAAATTTCATGGTGTGTATGTATGTATGTATTGTACTTAGCTTTTTATCCCACTGCTGGGCACGGATCTCCCTTAAATGCGAGGGGGATCAAGCCATATTACTTCGCTGGACAAGTGCGTATTGGCGGAATTTATATGTATTTGGAACATTTGCTTTGATCTCTTAGACATGCAGATTTCCTCACGATGTTTTCCTTCACTATAAGGTAATCATGTTTCAAATGATTCGCATATTAGAAAATTAGAAGTACAAGACGCGAGATTTGAACCCGCATCACTTGCATTACCAAGCGAGCGCATCACCACTGAGTTATAACTTAAGATATATACTTAACTAATAAAAAAACTTCAACCTCGTTATACTCTCTTTTTACGCGAATATTTGACATTTTAAATAAAAACTATTTTTTCGTATATTGTCGCGGATTTATTTAGATATTTTTTACTTCCATCTCATTTTCATTTTATTACTAGTTCTCGCCTGAGGATCTTCTCGCATTCCATTAATGTCACCTTCCACTTTTATTGAATGTTAATATTATGAAAATCAATTAAAACAGGACCAATACATGACTTATTTCTAAAAAAAATCTTTTGTTATATTTTTGTTTAAACCATAAGATAGATCTCTATATACGAGTACACAAAAAACACTCTAATTGAGTACCATCTGTAATAGCTATTTACTTTTGACTTTTGACTATTGACTTTTGACTTAATCTTAGTCTCTCCCATGAACATGTTTGCTGTAAAGCATTCGTATACTTCGGAACGAGAAATGAAAATGGAACTGAAGTCTACGAATTCATTTAACCTTCTTTTTAAAGTCGGTCAATAAACGTAGTTAAAACAATTCTTTCCGTAATGTAAAATATGCTGACATCCCTAGAACGTCATCACAGAATTAGAGCCTTCCAGCTTTCTTATTTTCACTTTACCAGTATAAAACCACGACCAAAATTCTACGAACCACCCTATTTTTCCTCTCAGCACTAAAGTCGACATAATTCAGAGACTCGTCGAGGATTCTGGGGTCAAATTATAGTGGTCGTTGTTCGGCTATTCGGCGAAGACAAAAATTGTGGCTTTTTTCTACCGTCTGTTTCTTTATTTCGTTACGTTTGTCCTTTATTCGTTTATTGGTGGCTCGACTTAGAAGTAATTTATGTGTAGACATACATTTTATTTTATCTATCTAATTTTATGATAGCACTGCAAGTTTATGTCATTTTGTTCTTAGTTCATCAATTAACTTAATTACAGGACCCTTGTAAATTTCGATATTTGGCCGTAATTGAATTCTTGGTTCGGATTTCCGTTTGCCGATAGGCTAACAAATTAGTTTGAGATTTCAATGACCGAATAATTAATTTGCTCTTGTTTCAATATAATGACTAACTAGTGACTATATAGGTACAATATCTAGTTTGGCAAATTATGTAGGAAAAAGGTTCATACAAAATTCAACTACACATGTGTCTCTGTGAGTATACATGCACACGCATGTGTGTGTGTGTTTGTGTGTGTGCGCGTGCGAGCGTGTGTGTGTGTGTGTGTGTGTGTGTGTGTGTGTGTTATTGTCGCTGTTATAGCTATAGTTTTATAGCTATATATAGTATAGAAGATAGTGAAAAATGAAAATAAGTCGCACTTACACACAGCTATCTAGAACATAAAGGAGGGTCGCTTATTATTAATAAAAAAATGGCTTCCACGCGGACGTAACTTGTACAGTAGTAATTAAGTATACATTTGTTTGGATATATAATTAAATATATTTGCAATTTTCTTTATTGCGATTAAAAAAATTGAAAAAATAGGCTCACGAAAAAGATACATGGATCATATCATAAAAGCTTTTAAGATAACATATAATGACAATTTTAATGCTATATAGGTACAATAAAATTGGAACGAGGCTCAACCCCGATATTATAGATATTTATAATAAATACAGATTTTGGAGATGCTTTTGTTTCATCGCGTACCACTCAACGTTTAGATTAATTTTGATTATTACTAAATATCTTATATGAAGTATTTTCGCGGATTTAGCTACAGAATTACATAAAAGTTTTTATAGAACAGTACATAAATTATAAATAGCAATTTTCAAATTAGTAGGTCATATGCATCCAATTAATATGGATAGGCTATAAGTTTCGATTTTGCGCGTTCTTATACAAAGTGTCCCTTAAACATTTGATTGTTACAGTGTAAATATGTTTATTATATGTACATTATACATAGTATGGACATCCGCCAACCAGCTTTTGGCTAGCATGGTGGGTTATGGCTCTCTTTACATTGATTGGACGCCGTTGATCGACAGTGGGACTTTAAAAAGCTAAATTATTGTATCTATATTAATATTATAAATATAGTATCTAAGCTTAATCTGCTTAACAGATTTCGATAAAATTTGGCAAGGACATAAATTGTATCGTCGGAACCGACAAAAGCTTCCTTAAAATATGCTTCTAAAAATGAATTAAAATTATTATAAAAAATATTCATTTTTTTGTGTACTAGAATGTTCTTTGTTTATTCATATAAAAAGGCAGTGTGTCATGGGATCAGTTGAATTTCGGAAAGAGAAGATTAAGAAAAAATATGAAAAAGTGGGTAAAAAATTAATAAATTACCATGCAAACGTAGCAGCGGGTCCAAACAAGTTATATAAGCTTTAGCGTTATTAGTACTTGCTAGTGAGAAATAAAATAATTTCATATAAAACCTAACAAGTTGGTAAGCCAAATGTATTTGAGACAAAAATGACGTCAATAAGCCCAAGTAAGCAGGATTACACATCCAATTTTCGCTGAGGGAAGCTTTGTTTTATTTTTCATTTATTTTATGTCACCGTTCCAGTCCTACGATCTGACGACTTACAGTTGCCGTTATATGAGGATCCACTTATAACTTGAAATAATGTTTCTCAAATTGGAAAATGCTATCAGACCAAATGCTATTTATTATAAATGGTATTATAGTATAGTATTATATATATATATATATATATATATAATATATATATATATATATATATATATATATATATATATACAGCCCACAATATTTTAAGATTGAATATCTAATAGGTAAATATGTATTTTACGTATTGAAATATACTAGATTTACTTTGCATCGGCAAGCACCGACTTCGAAAATATCTGATTAGGTATCTATTCTAAATGAAAACCTCCGTTTAGTTATTTTTTACATTTTAGTGCCTGGAAGTCGGTTTTTATTTTTTGTTAAAAAGTTTTTATAAATACTGTGTATCGCATTTATCGCATTTTTTATATACGTTTACTTTATATACCTATTACAATACTTTAAAATTGGTAAGTAATACTTTCTGAGATTTACGCGAATATTTGACATAGTGACAGATTGGCTGATTTTTGGTATGGAGATAGTTGAAGGGCTGGAGAGTGTGTACTTTTTACCGCGGGAAATTATCTAATTCCCACGAGAAAACACGTTATAATATACTTCAAAAAATATTTATGACATGAATTACTTGAAACTCAGTATTAATACTCTTCAATACAATTTAAAAAATACGTATTTTAGCAATTTTTGAAATTCATACTATAAGGGGGTAAAATAGGGGATGAAATTTATATGAAACTACCTAAACTACATTAAACTATATACATATAAATATTTAACTATCTATTCACTATCATGGGCAATCTTCAAATAATTCGACTTACTTTTAATTTTATAGTGGCTGCCTTATAAGCTCTGTCTGCTGTGTTCTGAGCTTGACACGTATAGGTTTGATCATGGTTCTGCCTTCTAGGACGAAGCCGAAGAGCCGATCTATAAAGAAATAACATACTATAATTTTGAAATTTTGATAATATGTAGGTACCCAAGGCTATTTATTAATTTAAAAAAAATGAGAGTTTAATACGAAAGATAGTAAAGTATACTCTTGATAACGTGGATCGATTCACAGAATTCTCACATACAATACAGTCCTCTCTCACATATGTAAAATTATTTTTTCTATAATGGCTATGTAAAATATTGATAAATGCTTTAATTGATATACTCTTAGTTAATGTAATTTATATGCAATAACTCGTACATAGTTTCAATAAAATTCCATCGCCAAAAAGTAATATTATCATAAATATTATGTATAATATGTCGAAGCATTAACACACAGCACCATCTAGTATGGTGAGCTACAAGACTTGTGTTATGATACCAAATAGTTGATACACGACACATATATAACTTTTAAATAATATTATAAACATAAACACCAATGACTGGAGTACAAACATTCGTGCTCATCACACAAATAAATGACCGCAGCGGGACTCAAACCCGCGACCGCTATCACAGCAAGTAGGGTTACTACAAACTGAGCCAAACGTTGTGTACTTTTTATTTTGTTAGTTAAGGTCATTTTTCACATTTATACATCACATTTTTTGCTTATAAAAACCCGAGACGGACAATTTTACTTATTATTAAATTATAAATGCAAATTTATGTATGTATTGTATGTACTATACCATTAACAACTCCAGTCGAAACTGGCATGCCTTGCATAAGAATTGAATCTGCGACCTTTTCGAAATACAGTGATATCTAAACTTATATACATAAAAAATAAAGAAATTAGTAGCAATAAAGAAATTACTGAAAACTAATATTAGATTATATGTTTATTACATTAAATACTTACCGAGCCGTGTATCTTCGACCATCAGACATCAGTTCAACCGTATAAGTCACTCCTTGACTGAGTACTCCTCCGTCGTTATCTACCCACGTGATCTGTATACAGCAAATAAATATTTTTTTACAATATGAAATTTTTATCCTAATATATTATAATACTGTCGCGTAGTGGATAGTGTGTAACGTCATTACATCAAAAGTAATAATTAAAAGGCACATCTGAAACATGCTTTATACATCCTAAAACATCAACACATGACAATTAACAGATAAAGACAGTTAATCGTAAATTGCCGTGTGTAAGAGAGGAACAAAACATTTTTCATAAAGGCATCGAAATTACTAGAAGTGTTAAAATAAACAGACAAGAACAGGTAATCGTAAGTTGCCGCGTGTAAGAGTAAGAGAGAAACAAAACATTCTAAATTATAAGAATTTCGAATTTTCGAATACTAGAACGTTCTTTGTTTATGCATATAAAAAGGATGGCAGTGTGTCGAGAGATTAGGTGAACTTCGATGCTAAGTGAAGACTGAGAATAAGTACATAAAAGTGAAAATGGGAAGAAAAGTGGAGTGAAGTTTTAGTGAAAGTGTATCTAGTGGTGTAAATTAGTGTTCAATTACTGAATTAACCAGAACTGTGTATACCGCGCGTTTTAGTGAATCTCCATAAGTCACTCTTGTTAACCAAGAGCAATAAAACATCAATAGAGCAAAAGACGTGCTTTAATTTCCGATCCCCGAACTCATAAAACGTAACAATACTATAGGAATTTTATGAGAAACTGACTAACTAACTAAAGACACACATTTTAATTAATTACTTCACGTAGGTTTTTATAATTGTAAATAAAAACTCTTGCTTAGAAGAACAAACATATTATAATTATTAATAATTTTAATGTTGAAAGATTAAATCACAAAAATGAAATCAGAGTAAATTTTAAACTCTGGTTAATAACAGAGTATAAAACGTGGTACAGTTCTTCATGTAACATTACTTTTTATAAATATTGACTAAAACATGGCATTTTATTTTACCTCCGCCGCAGGTTTCCCACCAACAGATATACATTCAAGCATAACTTCTCTATCTTCCACAGCATCTATTGTCGGTCCTTTTAGAATTTTCGGCGCTTCTGGTGGCACGAGAACGGTGAGACGAGCAGATTTTGATCTAATAGCTGGTTCGCCTAGAGCAAAATTTACGAATTATATTGGGCTACTACTTGTAATAATAAATGCGAAAATTTGTATGTGTGTATGTTTGTTACTCCTTCTCACCCGAAATGGCTGAAACGATTTTCATGGGCTTTAGGCACACAGTAACAAAATATATGTATGTTAGAATCTATTTATATAAAGTTTCTTGTACAGAATGATTCTAATATGACACAGGCTTAGCCGCTAGATGTAATGGAATTTAAATTTAATTAAAATGTAGTTCATTTTGTCATCCAGCATTTTTTTATTATTTCTGAGCGCTGCGCACGGCCTTCATTGCGAGAGGGATCAGGTCTTAGTCCACCACGCTGACCAAGTGCGGAGCAGACTTCACATGTCTTTTGAATACTAGTAAGGTTCTTTCTGACATGAAGGCATGCAGGCTTCCTCGTGATATTTTCTCTCACCGTAAGACAAGTGGTAATCATGTTAATCATGTAGAAAATGATTCGGATATTGAAAGTATTGAAAATGCGAGTTTAGAATTTGAATCTACTACACTCTCGGTTTTCAAAGTGAGGTAGTTACCACTGCTTAAAGTTATTAACTGACTTTTTTTATAGGAATGTCTATAATCTACACTTATAATAAATGTGTAGAGAGTTCAATTCTGTACATAAAATATATTTCCAAAATAACTATCAGGGGGTGATTAGGGATCGATACTGATGCCAAAAATGCAATCAGTAAAATTTTTGTCTGTCTGTCTGTATAACCGTTATAGAAACAAAAACTACTCGACGGATTTTAACGAAACTTGGTACAATTATTTTTCATACTCCTGAGCTGGTTAAAGTATACTTTTCATCACGCTACAATCATTAGGAGCAGAGCAGTGAAGGGAAATGTTGGGAAAACGGGAGAAGTTACTCCATTTTTTAAGCTTCCGTCGCGTGTGCAACCTTAATGGTTAAAGCTACACAGAAATCATGTATGACGGAAATGTTCTCCTTAAAATTATATAAAAAATATCCCACGACAGCATATGTCTATCTTTTATGGTTGACTCACAATAACACATGTAACTCCCGATAGCTTAGCAGTTCGAAGCTTTCTTATTTATATTTGTCTACTCTTACGTTTATAACACTCTCAGTCATCCCTAATTAAAAAAGTTAACATTATTAACTATTCCAAAAAAAGAATCATAGAAATCGATATAGAAACACCAAAGTTATACATGAAATACGCTAATAATAAGCCATCGCGCGTGAATACTGATTCATGTGGATTATTTTTATTGTATAAATCGGTCGCCGCGCTCGACGCGTCTCGCGGCCGCTGTTATAAAAGGCGGGGCGTCCGAAGCGCGAGCTTCATACAGTTTTTGCCTGTTGATAACGACGATATCGAATAAACGTTCAGACAGTACTTAATTGATATTAACAAACCGTGCTTATCAGCGCGACTTTTAGTCTTTGATAATTTATTTTTAGATTCCTTTTGTTGTTATTTTATAAAATAGGTATTAGTTATATATAAATAAAAATCAATGTTGGTAAGCGCATAACTCAAGAATGGCTAGACCAATTCGGCTATTTTTTTTCTATATTCCTTAAGGTCCACGGAAGGTGAAAAATGAAAACTTAACGAAAAAAAATATTATATGGCTAACGCTGGCTAATAACTATTTATATCTATTTAAAATGTACCTAGCGACGAACCCGAGCGAAGCGAGGGTGAGCCGCTAGTATGTTCATAATATTATTACTGTCCTACTAAAAGAACAAAAAATAGCATCAAAACCGCAAACTAAGCTAGTCTATAAATAAATTAATTATAATATAAATAAAAATACTTTACAAATATGTCTCGGAGTATCTAAATATAAGATATTCATAAAAATGTTGATAAAATATTTATAGAAAGCCCGCCCATACGCCCTTCTCAAATTCGCTTCTCAATATAATTTATATTGATATTATATTATGTAATATTTATAGCAACGATAGCCCGATGGTAACGCGCTCGTTGGAAAAACCATATGAAATAGGTTCAAATCCGGTTCTAGCAAATCTAAGATTTTCATGTAATAATGATGATTTTCAACATAAAAACCCACTTGATAATACGATGGTAACGCGCTCATTTGTAACAAATTTAATCCATACTTTTAATATTATAAATGTGAAAGGGTGTTTGTTTGTTTGTCTGTCTTTTTTTCACGTCGAAACGGAGTGACGGATTAACGTGATTTTTTGTGTGGAGTTAGTTGGAGGGCTGTAGAGTGACATAGGCTACTTTTTACCGCGAGTTATAATATCATTCCCACGGGAAAAAACGCAATCCAAAAATTATTTATGATCAGAATTACTTGAAACTTTGTATTAATGCTCTTCAATGCAATTAAATAAATACGTGTTTAAGCATTTTTCGAAATTCATCCCATAAGAGGGTAAAATAGGGGATGAAAGTTTGTATGAAACCTACTTTTTTAGAGTTTTTCTGTAGTTTTAGTGCTAGCAAAGACGCGGGTTCTGCTAGTATTTTCATATAATCATTACATGTGAACAATCATGTAATCTGTCTATAGCTATTCATTATACATGAAAAATCATTAGCTAGAACATCGTCAGAATAGAGACTTATTTCTGAAAATTTAACTAGTTCTCAGAAGTCTCATAATGTCCGTCAAGTTATATTTGGCGCGATAAATAAACTGAGTATATTATATGGTAACAATTTTATGTATCGGAATAAAAAGCGTATTTCACTCCGGAATATCTAATGAACCTTCTTATCAACCGACTTCCTCAAAAAGGAGCAAGTTCTCAATTCGGCTGTTTGTTTTTTTTTTATATGTGTGTTACTTCAGAACTCCGTAATTTATTAACCGATTTAGACAATTTCTGCTTTGTTTGTAAAGTGTATACTTCCAGATTGGTCCCATTTAAATTTCAATGCTTTTATTTGTATTGGCGAGCACTGATTTCGAAAATATTTGATTAGGTATCTATAGTAAATGAAAACTACCAACCAGTTATTTTTTACTTTTTAGTGTTTGTTTTTGAAGTCGGATTTTATTTTTTTCTCAAAAAGTTTTTTAGTAAAATAATCTCCTTCACTGAAACTTATTGGAGCTTAACTAAATTTACTTAGAGCCCTACTAGTTTTTACCCGCAGCTGCTTTTCTCATGATGCAATCTATATCCCTGCCAAATTTCATCGAAATCTGTTCAGTGATGTAAGCGTTAAAAGGTAACAGATAGAATTGCTTTCACATTTATAATATTAATATATATATACTAATATTAGAAACAATAATAATACCCCACAGGATCTACTAAATGAACAGCAAAAGTAAAAATTACCTATTTTTAGGTAATCACTGCGTCTCATAAGCTCTTCATCTTAAATATTATTTGTAATTTTGTATTAATATTTAGTACTAGTTAGTCACCCTCGCTCCGCTCGGGTTCGTTCATAGCTACGTTTTATCGGTTAGTATAGTTTTCTCGTGATCCGTTCCCAGGCAGGCAGACTGACAGACAAAAACTTTAAAAACTATAGATTCGCCCTCTATATCGATAATCGATAAGATTTTCCAAAAAATATTTAATGTACAGATTTGACTCCGTTAGAATTTTATTATATGTATAGATTAATAACGTAAGTAATATATAAAAACACATATATGTTTATTACAGAAATGAATCAAAGACCGTCACATACACATACAGCATCAATTCTGTTATCGGACCTCAAGCTAGACAGGTCCAGGGTGGAAATTGAATGTAAACACTTGATAGATTGCTATGCTTCCAATAATACCGTCTTATACTTGTATCATAATGGACAATGGAGGAAAATTGTTAATATAATATCATACTACAAAAATATTGATTGAACTAGAGTTCATTTAAATTTTTGCTTTTTTATACAAATATTTAATTATACTGCTTTTGGTGAAACTTTCAGAATACTATCAGATCCTTACAGTGACGTGACTTATAATAATCTAAAAAAAATACTTCTCTTTGACACTTTTAAAAGTTTGTTACAAAACATACAAAACCTTATGCTTAAATGGTATTTTAATTTTCATAATGTTCATATAAAAAAAACATTCATGGTTTGTAGATATAAACCATAATTACAAAACTAACACTGAAATAATATGTAATCTAAAATGGAGTGAATTATGATTAACTAGCGGCTCCCCCTCGCCTCGCTCAAGTTCGCCTCTAGAAAAACAAAAACAAATCTATCCCAAGGGAACCGTACATTTTTCCGGGATAAAAAGTAGTCTATGTGTTATTCTAATGTATGAGCTATATTATCGAAAAGTTTCATCAAAATCCATTCAATCATCCATACATCCATACTCACAAACTTTCACATTTATAATATTAGTATAGCTGATTTGCCTTGAACAACAAGTAAGTAAGAATACTACATCTAAAAACCGAAATGCACTACACGCGTGCTCCCAAACTGCTGAAATGTACGCTTGGGGAATAGTAATTACTTTTTTGAGTTAAAAGTAGTTAGGGTATAATTTATTCACTTACAGTCGTCTTAGAATTGAAAATTTTTGGCTATTTGAGAATCACTACATATTATAAAACACAGTCCTCCGCCGCGTCTCTTTGTCTAATTTGTTAAGTTTTTGTATACATTAGCTAAAATATAACGATATTTGTTGGAGGTGTCGGAAAAAAAATAAGCCGTTTCGTTGAACGCCGCCTAAGCCCTTTGGGATATAACAAAATAATGATTTAAAACGTACCTAGGGACGACCCCGAGCAAAGCGTGGGTGAGTCGTTGGTTGAGAATAGATGCAACTCCTTGTTATTGCCCTTTACTTGTGTAATGCCCTCACATGTATTTGTGGATGATCAGGATGTATATAATTGACTGCTCATTAGTCTAAAGGCTAGAATTATACGAGTGCAGATTTAGAAGTCCCAGGGCACAGATTCGAACCCCGGGCCAGTCAAGCACAGTTATTGGGTTTTCAGTCAAGAAA